CAGCAGTACTTAAATAGGCTTAGGATAGAGGACTTTAACGCACTTATTATTCATTTAAACAAAATTTATTGACACAGTATTCAATATAGAGTAAGGTACTATTACGAACGAATTTCTTTCGAATTTTTGGTATATGTATATCAGTCCATGACACCCGAATCCATGATGCTGACGTAATCACAATCTCGACCCCCCACCCCGCCCCCCACATGTCATCAAAAATAAGCAATGCAAAGACCCCCCTGGCCCCCTATAGTACTTACGTAATATTTGAATGGCCCCTAAAGGGTTCCGTAGCACCAAGTAACATAATATAAAACCTGCCCCCCGCGCGCTCTACACCCGCTACCGATCAAGCCACGCCGTGCGCGAATTATAATTATTATTTACTTAGGCACCTATTACAGATTTATTATTAGAAAATAATGGTTCACGGTTTATGCATAACGTTTATTTTTATCAAATTAAATGTCTTATTTTTATATTTGAGTTGAATGAATGAAATTGAATGAAAGGTAAACAGCGGTTTACGATTTATGACGTATTAAAAAACAACTACTTACTGGATCTCGTTCAAACCAATTTTCGGTGGAAGTTTGCATGGTAATGTACAGCATATATTTTATTAGTTTTATCATTATCTTATTTTAGAAGTTACAGGGGGGGGGGGGGGGGGAAGCACACATCTTATCACTTTGGAAGTGTATCTGGCATAAACTATTCAGATTAGAAAAAAAATATATATTAGAAACCTCATCATTATCATTTTTGAAGACCTATTCATAGACACCCCACACGTATGGGTTTCATGAAAAAAATGTTTTTGAGTTTCATTTATGGGGAACTCCCAAAATTTATTGTTTTTTTTCTATTTTTGTGTAAAAATCTTAATGCGGTGTACATAATACATCTACTTACCAAGTTTCAACAATATAGTTCTTATAGTTTCGGAAAAAGTGGCTGTGACATACGGACGGACAGACGGGTCTAGTACCCATTGGACCCTCAAGATTCGACCCAAAAGCAAAAAGTGCCCATTGGACCTCTTTTTTGGTGTCCATTGGACCTTCTTAAAACATTTTATATTCAATGTGCCCATTGGACCTCTTTTTTGGTGCCCATTGGACCTCCTTAAAATTTTTATATTCAGTGTGCCCATTGGACCTCTTTTTAAGTGCCCATTGGACCTTCAAGATTATACCCTACTGCCAGTTCGACCTTATTAACAGTTTTGTTAAGCACAGTACAGTCATGTAGAAAATTGCAGACAAAAATAAAATTAATAGAAGGTATTATAAAGCCACTAACTAAATACTGTAAAATCAGGTTACCTTTTTTCTTCGAATTAACGACATTTCGCCGTCCCCGGAGAATAAAAAGATAACCACAAAAACGTAAGTTTTCAGGAAAAATAAAAAAAAACTGTTTTTTGTCTATTGCTCTATAAATACTGGACGCAGACAGATGATAGTAACCTTTAAGAAAAGAAAATTTTTAACACATTTGGATTTTTTTGTAAGGTACTCGTACAATAAGATATAATGGAGATAGTTAGAAAATAAAAATTGAATCAAAAGTAATCAAAATTTAATTTGTATAATGTTTATTTTTATTTTATTCGTATTGACAAGGAGCCAAAACCAAATATTGCACTACTGACATGTATTTTAGTTCTATGTGTTATAAGGGTGCAAGTGACAATGATAATACTTCAATATCTTTTTTTTTCGTAAATATTGTAAAACCTTTTTTTCTTTAAAGGACATAATATATGTTTGTGCTTTAGGTTTAAAAGAATGATCATTAATTACATTAATTTAAAATTTAATTACATTAATAGTCATTAATGTAAAAAGGTTTCACTCAATAGGGCGATCGTACACTGACCAATAAATACCCTTACAGCGCAACACCAAATCCACAAGACCTTTCAAATCGAACAAAGTTCGATTGATTCAAAGTTCCTTAAAACAGCTTGGATCTAGACAATCTAAGCAACATGATGGTGGATTTTGCAACGAAATCATCTTTTGATCTAAGACTGAAATGCTGAGGTAGATTGAGTGTTTTTATCGACATTTATACTCCTCTTAAGCACCTAATGAAAGGAAGGTTATAGATTCCAAGCCCAAGCAATCTCTGCGCTTAAACAAAAGGATGGCGCCGATCTCATGTGTGGGAGAGAGAGAAAATGTGCTGTCTCGTTCCGATTTATGACCTACGTTGCAGCTAGAAAATAATCTTACAACCGTAGGCCATTGCTTAGAAAAATTACTCACATATGTATCTTAAATATTTAATTTGGTAATTTATAATGTTTTACAAAAGACTGTTAAATTTTTTATGGAGGTAGGTAGTGGGGTAGTGGGTCTTTTGGCAGACTCCAAGTTTTTATGAGACGCAGCGCACTTAATTGTGAATCGTTTGACAAAAAACTAGAATTTTATTTTATCCCGGTTTTTTATATTTAAATAACATAAATCTATCTAATAATTGATTTGCAAATGGCAAGTTTATTTGTCTATTTTTTGTTGCCAAGCATCAAATATATTATATTCAATGCGTAACAAAAGCAGTGATAATAATTTTGATAATAATCCATGACTGGACTGATTGACATTTGCCATAGTGATTGAGTTGACGTTATAAGCCACCACGCACTAAAAATATGACGTTACTAAGATAGGGTAGCCAGTATACTTAAAAAATTGTTTAATTATTAAACACGATTTAAATTAATCGGTAATGAATAAAAAAATCGAAGTATCTATACATGTTATACAAACTTTCAAAATATATATATTTCGTCCCTGCCGGAAACCGACTACCGCTTTTGAACAATATCCTTTAGTTAAAGTATGTTTTTATTATAAGCAATTTCTGGCTAATTGTAAAAATATGATTAGAAATCATTTTTTTATAAAATATAATATGAAAATATTACATTTGTATTTTATTTTATGAATATTTAGAATACATAATAATTGTGCTTCAATAGTTAATGTGAGTGATATAAAAACTGTATGTATAATTTAGTTAAGATATCTGATAAAAAAACATTTCTATTTAAAAGTAAAATAACAAAATCTGTGATTTGATTATTATATTCTATGGTTTGTTGCTGATGATTGATGTTTCGCATTTTATAAATATGTTGATTTTAAATACTTACATTTACAACCTTTGTGCTTTTATTTATTTTATCAATATTTAGAATATATAATAATTGTGCTTAATCTGTGTGATATAACAAACCATATTTATAATTAAGTTGAGCTATTTGATAAAAAATAATTTCTATTGGCTTTAAAAGTAAAGTAAAAAATCCGTGATTTGATTATTATATTTTATGTAAATATTTATATTGGTTGTTACTGATGGAGAGTTTTGAATTTTATAAAAATGTTGATTAAATACTTAGATTTATAACCTTTGTGTTTTTATGTCTTTTACAATGTTACTTTACTACACGACTGTACTTTACCGTTCCAAAAGAATTAGCCAAATAGTTAAGAGCTCCAATAGCTCCCATGGTGTTGTTAAGTACGTCTTTGAGGGTCCAATGGGCACCATGTTCTTGATAGGAGGTCGAACGGGCACTTTTTTGTAGGTAAGGTCCAATTAGGAGGGTCCAATGGGTACTAGACCGACAGAGGTCGGACGGACATGACGAATCTATATGGGTTCCGTTTTTTGCCATTTGCTTGGGAAAAATGCCGAAAACCTTTTTTAAAAGTACAGTCCCCAATTATTTAAGCATTGTTACACAGAAATCTTTATTAAGCAAGTATAAAAAAAACTAGATATTATAAATGTTAAAATTTTCTGCTCACTACCTCCGTACCTACTGTACTAATTCGAGTTAAGATATTCTAAATTTTTAATACCTTTATGGGATAGTACCTAGTATAGGTGCTTATGTAGAATTGACAGAAACAATTAATCTTACATTCGTAGGCATCAAATAGATAGTAATTGTTTATTCATAAGTATTACAGTTATCGATCCGTTACTACTGGGCTATAATACCTGTACGTTACTTTACTCATGTGATCATCGTCTGAGACCGAATTGGACATCTGGGTATGTACCTATGTTTTTGACAATACGCTATTTTAATAACCATTTTTTGCCAAAGTTAGACTTTATTATCTTTTGAATTATAGTTAACTTTAGGACTGATGTGTACCGAACATTTCCACTTAAACTCGATCACGTGTATGTGAAAATTTATTTATTAGGATAAAAGAAAGTAATTCAACTTCAGAAAATGCTCTACAAATACATTTACACTTTATTAACACGCAGCGCTCATTTGCTCGTGAACCTACTCTTAAAAGCGAATCAATTCGTATTAGTGATTCATGGGTGAGTAAGCTAATATTCCTCCTCCCTGTTTTACCCCTTGAATAATCTTCATAATCGTTATTTGCTAAAATCACGGTATACAGGTATTACATAAAGTGGATTGAGCACGTGTTTTGCCATTATAAAAATAGCATGCAAATACATATGGAACAAATTAAAAAAAAAGATTAATTACTTATAACATCTAATAAATAAAATTCTCGTGTCACAGTGTGCGTAATTGAACTACTCCGAAGCGGCTCGACCGATTTACGTGAAATTTTATATGCATATTCAGTAGGTTTGAGAATCGGACAACATCTATTTTTTCATCCCCCTAAATGTTAAGGATAATGAAGAATACGGCATTTTTATGTTATAATATATATCCTATAACCTTCCTTGATAAATGTACTATCTATCTAACACAAAAATATTTTTTCAAATCAGTACTACATGAGATAAGCGCGTTCAACAAAACTACAAGATGGCAAAACTATAGGATGGCATCACATTCCTCTCGTAAAATAGACGCTTAGTGTCGAGTTGCGGAAAACAGCCTGCGCCGTACTACTACCGCTACTGTATTACTAAGACTTAGCATTAGTTTAAATTGACTTGGCTGTGTGATATGTAATGAACGGTGCGTGCAGGTGACTGTGGTTGCGGAGGAGGTGTGCACGTGTGTGTGCTGGCCGCGCATGCGCCTGGAGCGCGTGCTGCGACATCGGCCCGCGCTTAAGGTCGTCCTCGACTGCCTCATAGGTTAGTACGCAAACATTTACATCAGACCAATCTTGACGGTGCTGGCGGAGGAGGTGTGCACGTGCGTGTCCTGGTCGTGCCTGCACCTGGAGTGCGTGCTACGGCACTGACCCGCGCTTAAGCCGCGTTGACATGCTCAAAGTCAACTTTGACAGAAAAATTAGTACAGTCCAAGTTGGTCCAAGTCCATTTAGATTAAATGCCGACGCCAAAGTGCGCTTAGATTGATAGTTTAAACGATCAAAGTAAACTCAAAGTAGACATCAAAGCTACTTTGTCAAAGCAGAGCATGTCAACGCGGCTTTAAAGTCGTCCTCGACTGTCTGTAGGTCTGTGCACACTACACATTTTCATTAGAACAATCTTTACGGTGGAGGCGGAGGAGGTGTACACGTGCGTGTACTGACCGTGCATGCGCCTGGAGCGGGTGCTGAAACAATCAAAAAATATCAAACTCTTCTTTCTCGGTCTCGTAAAAATCAGAAAATAATGCACTGCATTAATTATTATTAATACGATTGTTGATTGAAGTCAATAAGTGAAAAATTACTATATATTGATATGTTTCTCCACCTCCTCCTCCTCTCTGCCTCTCTGCCACACTGTTTTACTGCAAATAAATGATGTGCAATAGCCCAGTATTATTGGGTACCCCGACGACAGTATTATGATAGACTGTTTCCAATACGCGAACCACCACGATGTTTTAACCGTTCCCCTGCGTTTGGTTCCGACTGGAGTGATGTCTAACGCATTAGATGACCAAGACACAGGCATGTATTTTTCTACTAAAAAAATCCTTTCGTGTTCCTAGTGCGCCGATTTTCCGATGTGTATCGTTGCCAACCAGCGATAAAGTGGATCTTATCTTAAAAGTATGATTTCAATCTAGTCTTGAATAAAGACAGACGCGGAGAAATTCGGCATACTAATCAAAATCAATGGCGTTTGACACAAATATTAAATTAATTTTCGTTAACAAGAGTATTTCGCATACCAACTAAAAATACTAATAGAATACTATATTTTTTATCAAATTACCTATAGAAGATTACAAAAAAAACTAAACATATTTGAGGCGGTTATTTGCATTTCTGATAATATCACATAGCCTTAAACTGTTTTAGATTGGAATTGGACATGGTCCAAGTGATCCTCCCTCCGCGGCTTTAACAGTAATAGAATTTTGGTTTTATATTGTTCGTGGCGAAAACTTTGGATTGATAGATTGAACCTACTTAGCCTTTGCTCGAACAGTGGGCCGCCCATCTATCAATCCCGTTTTGATATTCTGCAATAAAATAGACTCCTTCTCCTTATTTTTTTTTAATATGAGGTAAAATTCAATGTAAGTAGAGTTTATTCTCCTAAAGCACATTTTCAGTATGGCATTCACATTTTCCGCGCTTTACTTTCAAACTTTCAGAATCATTCGCTTTAGTTTTGAATACTGCTGTTCATTTGGTACCGTAAATGGCTGCCTTTGTGCTCATGCCCCTCATTCAAAAATAATAACGGACTGCTAAAAATTACAGTGATGGAATCACCGCCACTTGTTCTGTGATTATACGTTACTGACTCAGCATTTCCAAGCTCAACCTATTGTGATTTGACCAGGTGACGGTATTAATAGACTCGGCGACGAATTCCATTTCTAAGTATGTATTTTTAGCATAATGTAAGTAGTAAGTACCTACTTACAAATCCGTATTATTATAGGTCTACGTATATTTAATAAATAAAAGTACTTTATATTATGTATTAACCTATTAACGATGATGATTAAAAACCAAAGGAGATTGCTCAAATTGGCCCAAATGCAGAAAAAAAATTGACATACACGGTAATTCTGGGCGTAATTTATAATTTAATTTACAGTCATTAGATTTCAACGGACACCTTTGTATAATATATTTACTTTAAAAAGGACTTTTAATTTTACCGGTTTGGAAAACATACGAATCATTTTTAATGGCTATGGGTGTAGTAACATTCAGCCAAAGACTGATCGAACTTGTTTATATAACATAAAATGAAATCTATTTTGTAAAGATCCGTAAAATAAATCATTTTTTTATTACACTGTGGTATTAATATCCACAACTATATTATCATTTTCACTACATGCAAATGTGCTCAGCCAATTATTATAGATGGTAGGCGACATCATGAAGTCTATTGCCATACATTTTTCGCCAAACACCTCCATAAACACATTATAATCTGTATATATGTTAGACTTTAAGGTATCTATGTATGGGCCTACGTTGCCTGACTATAAATTAATAAATAAATAAAATTATAAGGTGTGATACACTAAAAATCTAAAATATGGTTATCTTAAAAACATAACAAAAATAATGAAGCTACTGAATATATGGCTATTGAACCTAAGTGCTTGGCCACGGAGACGGACTAGGAGCGGTTGCGGGTGGCGGCAGCGGTTGGCTTATTAAACAAATGTATGAGAAAGTATGAAGTATGCCACGACACGCGCGCGGCGGGCTAGAGCGGGTGCGGCTGGCGGCGGCGGTTCGGGACAGCGGTAGCGGGCCAGCCGGGCGGGTGGAAACAAAGCTATGGGCTAGTTTGCGCATGGCCACGGTGCACAGCGGTTTTTCGGGCGGTTGAAAACGGCTAGCGTGGGACGGATCGAGTCAAACAAAATTTTTTGGACGAATCCACGAGCGGCAGCATTTTATTATGGACACCGAAGCATTTATTACGCAAATATTAAACCGACCATCTATATGGATGTTTAAGCATCCATAACACAAGTATAAAAATGTAATTAAAAGACTATGTAATTAAATAAATAAGATCAGGACAATAAGTTTTATTAGATATTACGTAATTACTAATAAGTAGGTACAAGTATAGTATAGTATTCGCCATAAAATACGAACTGCTGTCAAGGCAACTACACATCACTTTAGTTAGAGCCATCCTCAATACGTCCACTTTAGTCAGCCGCTGTAGCCGTTACTGAATGTACGTGGCATGCCACCCGCACCCGCAGAAGTCACCCGCACCCGCGCTTAGCCTAGCCCGTCTACGTGGCCAAGGCGGCATCGCTCTGCTGAGTCTGATTAAGTACGTACAAGTAGACGCGGTTGCCTTAGCACCCTCCTCATTGACTTCGATAAAAGCCTTTTGAATGCCCTTTGACACGTATAAAGTTTCTTTTTCGGTATTCAATATTTTAGTCAAGCCAGAGTTATCCTTGTCAAAAATCTGCGAGATGCCAATCTGTAAATGGAATGGACAACATATCATTGAAAGGCTAACGAAATTTTGTCGTAAGCCTTTCAATGACGCATGTTTGGACCTAATGTTTAGCCCCTTTATTAATAAACGAAGACTAAGCTTGGATTAGTTACTCTATGTTTGTCTCTGTTCATTCAATGACAAATAGCATTTGGCCGCCGAAAATCTTTAACGAGAGTTTAAAAAATCTCTCTAATCTGTGGCTCATTCACAATCATCACACAATTTCTACCACAGAGTACTATTATAACAGGAAATGCATAGATGACATCTGATTTTAAAAGTTACTCTGCATTAACTTTAAAAACAGGCAACTATCTGTTAATCTACATGCTCTATATACCTGAATCTAATCCATAATTTCGGTACTTGGCTTGATTTCCCTAGTTTACTATATAACTTTTTTTTATATATTATTTTAATATGTTCAGTGTATATGGTTTATAGAAGTTCTCAGGGGTGTCCGTCAATAATATTCGTTTCTACAAGAATTTATATATAATTTCCAATCTAGGAAACAAATTTTCATGATTATTGGTCTTTAGGCCAAACATGTATGGAAGCTGAGCAATCTCCTTTTAAATTCATTTCTTGCCTTATTCCAGTTAGTATGGGATATTAGATGTTTTTCTACAGAAAAATCAAACCTAGGAACTTATGTTAGATAGCATCAAAAGCACGGTTTCAAAACATCGATGTTCGTGACCCAAAATATTGGTCCATAGCAACCGTCAATATGTAAATGCAGGCAAATCAATACAAAAGGTATGCAAATGAAATGAAACTGCAAATTGTCAAATACTTGATTATTGAAACCGAGCAGCTGAGGGTGCCATTGATGGTGAGAGAGGATAAATTTACAATTCTGAATAGGTTTTCCATTTATGAATACTCCTAACAAAGTGTGAGCTCTTGGTAGTGGCATTGCTTATATTTTGACTGGTTTGTAAACCTTAATCGTTGGGTAAATCTGAGGTCGCGGAGGTTGTTTTGTTTATAAGGCTCGCGCCGTGAGTTTAGCTTTACGTTTTACAAAAAAAAACACATTCGCGAGTTGCGGTCCCGAAGCCGTGGTGGGCGCGGGAGAAAATCGCGCCGTGAGCCGTCGCGTCGTTAGCTTAATAACTTCCTAACTTATGTTTGCTACTTGCTCTTTCGTTTCTTAGGTGTTTAAGAATTTTCGGTTTTGTAGTTTGGTTTTCAAATTATAAACTCTGGTTTAGATCAATTTAGGAACAATTATTACTTGAAACACACAAGCCGTGATAGTGAAAGCTTACGAACGAGTAGGTAAGGTAACCAAAAGTATCGATTAAGTGAAAATGAAAATGTTCGCAGATGAAAAAAGACTTAATTTAAAGATAGACGCTGACGTTTCACTATATTATATATTATATTATTATATTTGTATTTAGGTGTACAGATAAAAGGAATATATTCGAGAAATTAAGGTAATATGTTCTTATCATGCTTTATACAGAAAAAAAAATAGTTTTGGTGTCAAATTTAGGTTTAAAAATAATTATTTGATATGGTTATTAACATTGCTAAAACTATCAACATTTCAGGCAAGGACATAACACACAAGTTGTATTCGGTGAGCGAGGGCTTGGGAGCGAGCGCGGGTAGCGACCCTGGACCTCCGGCGCACCTCACCCGGTCTGCCAGTGTAGACGCCGTACATGAAGGCGCTCGCGGCAAACTGCGCAGCCTGGCCTGGAGAGCTAGGACAACTACCAATAAAGGTTTCATCTCCTTTCACTCAGTAAAATAAACTGTTGTGTTTATATTTCATATAAGGTGTAGAAAATTATAATACAAGTAATGTAAGTGTTGGAGTCCAGTCGCGAAGAAAGCTGATGCGACAAAAAGTGTGTTTGCTGTCCTGAACCGAATGTCGCACAATACAAACAGAAACAACAAAGCCCTTAGGTTTTTTTTAAGAATTGGCGCTTGGTGCTAACGTCGTAAAATGCCTTGCAAAACACAGAAGTGTGATCATTCGCTCGCCAGCCTGCGCGCTGTGCAGATGTGCTCTGCATCGTGTCCGATATTCTTCGCCCGTGCCCGTGGCACGTGGTATTTTCCGTCGGTCGCTCGTTCAACCTTTCCTCCGACGACCTCCGTGTTTCGGCCGCACTTTTATAGGTTTTAAAAAGGAGACTTACGGTCTCCCTGATCTCGCGCCTTCCGCGCTTTCCGCCCCGGGCCCGGCGCATTCAGCGTAGCCCGTCCCCCGTCACACGCCTTCAGCGCAAACCCGACCTCAAGTGCCTTCTGCACAATCCGCCCCCCGTTCCGCGCCCACAGGGCAGAAACTCGCCGCTCCTCTGATCCATGAGGACGCCCCGCTGTCCCCCGATGCATCTCATAGCGCTCGGAGGCCGACGACTTCGAGTTCGAGGTCGTCACCCGAAAAAGGGGAAAAAGGTCCCGAAAGGCCAAAACCTCCACCGACTCTTCCTTTGGATCCGATTCCGAGGAACCAGCTCCCCCGACGAAAGCCGCCAAAGCCGACAGTGACTCCGCACGCCTTGTCTCACCGTGACTCAGGCCTTCAGCCATCCCTCGCTCCACCGACTCTCCGCCTTCGATCTTTAGCCAGGACATTAAGTCCTGGAATTCTTTGTCAAAAGTACTGACCGACAGACATATAAATTACACCCACGCGTACCACCGCGCCCGGTGTCAAGGTGCAAGTCCCCGAGTCCGCGGAGCACCGTAAGCTCACCGCCTTTCTTCGCCAATCCGGCATTGGCTTTCTCACCTACTCTCTTCCCGAGGAGAGAGGACTCAGCATTGTCATCCGCAGCTTGCCGAAGGACCTCGACGCGGATTTAATTCTCGAGGATCTTAAGTCCCAGGGCCTTTTCGGGCTTTAGGTAAACAGCCTTTTCACTAGGGACAGGCAGCCGTATGACCTCCATTAATCTTTATCTTTCCCCCGAAGGAAAGAAAATTTTCTCAATCAAGGCCATTTGTCACCTGTCAAATATCCGCGTGGAACCCCCAAGTAAGCGTGGCATTGTCGGACAATGCCACAACTGCCAGTTGTACGGACACTCGGCCCGGTTCTGTTTCGCCGGTGCTCGGTGCGTCAAGTGCACGCTCGACCACGGGACGAAGGATTGCCTACGGCCGAGGGTCCCGGTATCGGAAAACCCGCCGGGCTGTGTTCTCTGCGGCAGCCAGCACACCGCGAGCTACCGCGTCTGTCCTAGTGTTGCCCAAATGCAAGAACAAGACGAGACTTAGCCAGTCTTGGTCTTGGTCTTGTGCCAATACACCTGGTCTTGGTCTTGGTCTTGCGCTCCCAGTCTTGGTCTTGGTCTTGGTCTTGCAGCAAGAGTCTTGCAAGTCTTGTATATATTAAAGTTTACTTTAGATCTTAGAAAAACGTATTAGAATTGGAACATTGTGAGCTTGAATTAACATAGCCATAGTAAAGACCAATCAGATTAATAAATGTCTGAAGATTTGATAAGAAATTCGAAAAATCAACTGCCACATGGTTATCAACTGAGCTATATGCCGTTTTCCATAAGTAGGTAGGTACGCTTTTTATATTATTTTATTAGTTTTGTAGAATTTTTTTACACGTTTCAAGTATATTTAAAAGTGGCTATAATATTTATCAAACGGGTGATATTTGACCACTTTTTTTCTTGTAAAAACTTAAGAAATTTAAGAAATATTTTGACTAAATGTACAATAATAATACCTAAGTAATTAGTTTAAACCCATATAATCAATATTATAATATATACTTACTAGAATAAATTATTATGATATCTACTACCTATCCTTACCATTATCTAATCAAAATACTACTTGCGTGATCAGTATAATGCATTCGTTTCCATTCTAAGCACTCTGAAACTTATTTATTCTTTGGAACACCTGTACTCTAAAATTAGAAAATCGAAGTTCGTGTCGTACCGTCTCGCTCGCTCATATATTAAATAGTACTAGCGTGAGTGGGACGGCACGACACGAAATAAGAATTTTGCATGAGTATACCTAGGCCCTGTGACGGCAATCAAATAGTGTCAAATGTTGTGTATGAGTGACGCGGCGGCAACGATTGTTGTATGTGATTGCAATAGAAGCCGCCGGCGCGTGTATCATCACTATGTACTTCCGAAAAGCGGCAAATTTCTTTGAGAAGTCAGTACAAAACCTTTGATGCCGCATTATCAAAGTGCCGGTGGTTAAAACAAATCTATACATGCACTCTGTTTGATTTTAATGGATATTTTTTTATTCGCTATGTATGTTTATGGTATTGGTCGTAATGCGCATAGGTCCAGTTTTTCATATTCTTTGATAGTTTTTTGCATCTCAAAGAATTCCTAAGCGTACCTATACACCGAACTGTTATACCTAACTACTCCGTGAAATAGCGCTAAGTCCTAGCTGCAAGACGCAAGAGTCTTGCCGGATTAGTCTTGTTCTTGCTCAAGTCTTGCACGGTCAGTCTTGGTCTTGGTCTTGCTGAAAATACGCGGTCTTGTTCTTGGTCTTGGTCTTGCAAAAATGCAAGAACAAGACCAAGACTGAATTTGGGCAACACTAGTCTGTCCTAAAGCCCCGGTGAGAGCAAAGATCGGTGCACGCGTGCCCGTGGCCCCCCTCGCTCAGGGAACGATCGCCCTCCGCCCCGCTTCCATACTCGCGCCCCCGCACCCAACGCATGGCGGAAGGTGGTAACTTCTCAGCCATCAACGCCCTCCCCAACGAAGAACTCACAAGAACCCTCCTCAAGGGCTCTCCAAGCCGCCGGCGGCCCAACCCACAAAACTCGCCTCCGCAACCGCGTCTGCTCCTTCTGTCTCGAGCAACGCGATGGCCCTCGGCTCTGGTGATTCTGACGCGGATCTCGCGATCACGATCGCCATCGCCATCGACCCCGTGGAGCTCGAAGTTTGACTACCCGTATCTTCACCGAACACCGCGCACTCATCACCGCTATCCGCGCGCTTACCGTCCCCTCTTCTTAATGGCGTCCTCAAGGGTCTTTCCAGTCAGAGTGCGGAAATTGCAAAATTTTTAGTAGATCACGCGATAGATACACACATCAAAAGTGTCTAGGGATCAACATATATTTTTGCAATAACTTTTCTCCTGATTGATATTAATTAAAATTTTCTTTAAGGATTCATCAAATAAAGTGTTTTCGTTTGTCACAGTAACGATAAACCAAGTCACCTTTGCATTAATAAAGAAATTTGCCATTTTCCTAATAAAGGGATTTTTGACATTTGAACCACTAACACAAAAGTTCGAAAAAAAGACTGAAATAACAGTTTTCTCTAAAATTTTATTGGGTAACTTAAACAATTAATAATCCGTATTTCTACCGCGAACACTAACAACACAAGAACATCGGTTTGGCATACTCAAAATGAGTTCATCCAAATCACGCTGTGGAATGGCCGCCCATGTTCGTTGCAACAACAAAAAAAGGTCTTCTTGCGACTGGATACCCTCCATATTCGGCAGAGCTCTTCTCTGTAGCATATCCCATGCATGCTCAATCGGGTTCAAGTCTGGCGACTGAGCAGGCCAGGGCAGGACATTGATGTTAGCTGCGGCGAGAGTCTGTCTTACAACTCTTGCGGTGTGCGGTCGTGCATTATCATGCATTAACTGAAATAAGGGACCGATTTGCACTTGTAGAGGAACGATGACGTCTGATACAATCGTCTCAGCATAAATTTGAGCGTTGAGGTTGCCTCTGATCCAAATCAACTCAGTTCTTCCGCCGATCCAAATACCCGCCCATACCATGATGGTTCCACCACTATAAGGATGGACTTCCTGGCAGGATTTTAATCGCTGTTGGCGTCCAGGGGTTCTCCAGTGTCGTATACGTCTTGTATCCGGTCTCATACCAAAACGAGACTCATCAGAAAAGCACACGAAACGCCATTGTTCTTCTGCCCAATTTCTGTGTTCAAGAGCCCATTGATATCGAATCCTACGATTGTGCATTGCTATAGGTGGTACCCGTAGCGGTCTTCGGGAATGAAGGTTCACTTCATGCAAGCGGTTTCTGACTGTTTGGTCGCTAATTAAGTTCCCTGAAGAGTGATGAAGCCTCACGGCTAACATCATGGCGGTTATTGTTGGAGCTCTTCGAGTTAAGATTTGAATGTATCGGTCTTGTCTCCGTGTGGTGCAGCGATACCGTCCTCCATGGCGCTCAGCCACGGTACCAGTGCTTCGGTATCGTGTCCAAAGTCGACTGATAACACTCTGACTTGTATTCAGAGCTAAAGCCACAGTACGTTGCCGGGAACCAGCTTCTATCATTCCCACGGCTCTGAGCATTTCTTCCCTGCTTAAATGACGTCGCCGCTCCATAATAACGTTGGTTTTAATCAGTAGTAGGGAAACAGTAGCACTAATAATGTCTTCAATGCGTTGTATGTTTTTATAGGGAAAATATTGACAGCTGATTTTCATCTTTTACTCGAATTTGATTCACAGTTCCTGATTCAAATTATGAAATGCACCAAAAAGGATCCATATAAATTTATAAAATCATAAATTTATTACAAAGCCACATCTCAATCTCAAGAAATCCGCATAAAAATGCTTGATCCCTAGACACTTTTGATGTGTGTATATGATTGTTTAGGATCTACAACGCTTTAAAGTTGTATATTAACCACTTACGCTTTTAATTTCAATCTTACGTTTCTATGGATCTTTGTTACTCTTTCACCTAAAAAATACTGAATGGATTTTAATGAAACTTAACAGTAATATAGCTCATATATGATAATTACATATATATAATAATTTATGTAGTTATTGAGTGAATTGGCCAATATATAGCAATAAGTGTCACATAAGACGGAAAAAATGTCCCATCTGCGAGCCATTTTGGCCTGCACTGCAAAAACAATAAAAGTTACATGAATGTAATGTAAAGTGAAAATGTATCTCTTAAATAGTTCTGAAATAAAGTCCGTGACACCATGTATCTATTTTTAATGTGTAAGTCATTACCGCTAAAATAGTGAATTGTAGTGTTTGTTTTTAAACAGGGCGTGACACTGACACACGTAGGACAGCTGTTTTGTCTATGATAGCGAACCGCTTACGTCGGCGTAGCTGTCAAACTTCATTGATTGGGTTGGTAGCATTGAGGAAATAGGCGATTTTTCTATTCGACTAAAATATTCACCTTGAGACTTATATAAAAAAAAAAAAGTAATCAGGCAGTGAATCTCTGTGGGGGCGCGTGGATGAATGGATGGAGTTTGACAGTTGTTGAATTTTGAATAGTTTTTCCCATATCGATTTGAGTCCTCCTTATCGGGCGCTGTTTTTAATCGATTTTGAATTTTACTCGAAATTGAATTTCCTCGCTGATTTGGGTAGGTATTACCTTTTCCTCAGCTTACGGCGAGCGTAGGTATATAGTTTTGAGTTTATTCTTCGGTTCGTCTCGAATGCGGCGGCTGTCTGTTTGACTGTGGCCTTTGCCTTCAGTTGGAGAGAGAAACAAATCATAGACACATATTTGGGAGTAGACGACCCGTCTATCATCTATGAGCAATTGTCAAAACAACATTTAAAATTTCACAGTCTGTTTGTGGTACAGTTATTTTTTCATCGTTTCTTCTGCCCCAAAGTATATTATAAGGCATATTATAGTCGTCGGAGTCGTGAAATAGATCCGAAAAGTTTATATCCTGAAGGATATTGGCGGAAATAGCGCGGAGTCGCTAACCGAACTGAGTTTCGCAGGTATATTGGAGTAACTCTTTTTCCTACTTATTTTGCAGGTTGTGGCTATAAAAAATAACCTTTCTGTTGATATTCTGTATCGTAGGTGGACGAACACGAACCTTTGCAAGGCGTTGCAATAAGGCAGTAACTTGTGATAGGAAACAAAATACTTACGGATAGTTTCATATTTCGAACGGTAAGCTATCACCTGACCTCATATTTATTCTCCTAGCACTAATTGAACTGCATTATGCACGATATGGTGATTATTGTCATCAAATATACCTAATCAATCTTGTCAAGTTAGTGAACATGAAATTGATTTCCTTCAACCCGGTGGGATGGGCCCCAGTCATGTAGTGATTCAAATTTTAAAGTGTAAACATTGACCGTGAATATCCCTCACTCGACCCTACCCGCCAGTGATGCAGATGTGGTAATCTATGTATTTTCCCCATATCTGATCATTTTTTTTCAATGTGAACTTCAGGCTTGTACGTTCCCCTCAAGAAATACTGGAGGAATAACAAGGAGACTCTTTCTCTGTACACGGACCAGAAGGGACGCGGGAGTTTATTTGCCAGCCGCTCTCCGGTTTTATGTAACCCGGCCGTAACAGCGGACAGATCATACACTGCTCAACCTATCCTAAACAAGGTATTTTCATTACTAACCCCGGGCGAGCGTGGAGAAGAACCACAAGGCGAGGTTGGACCCCGACCTACCCATTTCCATATATATACATATATCTATATAACTGGTTATCCCACTGAGAACTGGAATTAACTAAGTTTGTCACCAATATCGTCCAAAAGAGCCGTAGAACCTCTGAAATCCACTAAATAGCTTATTCAGTCTAGTCTATGTGGTCCCCTTAATGGGCAGTCCATTGCAGAGTGGATAAATATATTAGATATAGTTGAGAACTCATGTAAGTACATGGTAGAGTGTTATGAATGTCTGATATTCATATAATTATAACATTTCATGACAACTTGTTGATTTATATAAACTTTAACTTTAAACTACTGTATTCAGCTTAGATATTTATAATTAGTGAAAAATAATAAACATAGTTAGGCTTGGTGATTTATATAAGCAATAACTGAAAACTACTGAATTCACCTGCTTTGGTATCTAAAGTTGATAAAATATACTTATAACATTATCTTAATTCTTTTGGTTTTCTTTCATTGTTTCCCCGGTGCTCTGAGTGAGCTTAAAAGAGGGCAGTGGAGGAGAATTTAACATCACAGAATCAAAACTAAAATATTATTTGATATCTATTTCCAAAATGCACATTTTGTATTAACAAATCATTTTTTATCAAAAAAAAATACTTTAATCGCTTTTGATATTTAAAGACGATAAACTTTGCTTTTTACATTATGTCATTTCGACAAATATTTAAAAAGTTACAACAATGACAAAGGATAGCGCGGTGTACTATGTAAAAGAAAAAAAATGGGGTATTCGCAGTATCCGATCCTATACGAAGTACTAACATTAAAACTGTGATACAGTTCCTTCTTATTAAATGATGAAAAATATATTATCATAATAGGTATTTATGATTATTGAATTTTAATGAAAAACTCAGAATTTTACTGATTTTCATTTTTTTTAATGATATTACTTAAAGTTACAAAAAAGGTTTACTTAATATAATGACAAATAACCCATTCAATAACCCACCCACCGCTAGTAAGTACATACTTATTGGAATCCCTGTATTTATTAATCAGCTCGCGATAATATTGGTTTTGTAATAATTCTGCAAAATTCAAAGTAAATAATGTAGATTTTTATAGGTAAATCACCCCTTTCATCACCCTACGCCTATAAGTATTGCGATGTTGTAGCTAAGAACCAAGTTCCCATCTACTTCTATATGGGAATTCATTATATTCGATTTAGCTATTAGGGCACGGAAGCGCAACAAACAAACTCACTTTCGCATCTATAATATTATATTATACTTACTAGTGATCCACCCGGGCATTGTCCGGGCGAAATTTATTTATCGGGATAAAATATAGCCTATGTCACTCGAACAAAATGTATTTAAATAAAGAAAAATGTTATAATAAATAATGTAGCTACCTTATGATGAATTAATATTTGAAACCGATTCAGTAGTTTGATAGATTGTTTGTTACAAACATACAAATCTTGCCTCTTTATAATATTAGTATAGATAGTTAGGATAAGATAAGTATTTAATTGATGAAAAAGATTTAAAAATAAAGTAAGTAATAGGTTTATTTGATTATATTTGTAAAAGTTACTTAGCATTTGTGCTTAACAGTGATACGTTATTCGGTATTTTTATAACAAAAAAATAATTGGAAAATAATTGCCATGATTGCACTACTGGGAGTACTCTTCATTCGAGCTTTACACTACCAATAAAAAAGGGTCGAACACAAAGTCTTTGACCTGTTAAATGTGAACGCTTTAAAAGAAAACTACAAAGAGAACTATAAATTGATAATAAATGAGATTGCTATGGTGCTCTACCTAACGTTATGAAAATTTTATTATGCGCCTTTAGTTTAATCAAATATTATAAACTTTGCTTTGGTGATAGCATGATTATTTAATTTAGTGATCTAAGGCAGTTGCCACCATTGTCCAAAACAACAGCGCGGAATTACTTCTTTCTTCAACCTGCGACATAAACGTCATTGTTTGGTATTGTATATAGGGTGATTAAAAACATTTGAAGTTAACTTCTGGCATCTACATATTTGGTTTCTGTGAATTATGTAGGTATATCAAATTATGAGACTAGGGACTGACACTGAATTTGTGTATATCACAATCTTAGACGTCCGGCATTGACATGACAATGCAGCCACTGCCTATTTTAAATAGTCGACGAATAAAAGTAAATTAATTTTATATTTACTGCTAAACTATTAAAAAAAACATAAACAAAAGATGACTTTTTGAGTAAGTTCTAGTTTACTATAAAATTTACATACATTAGAGATATTTATGTAACGACTTAATTTAACTTCACACATTTTTGCGAAAATTGAGGCCCATCTGTAGCCTTGACCCCGCTGGTAAAGTCTTTATATGTCTTAATAAATCAATCTTTTAGAACGACGCAAGGTACTTAATAATTCCCGCGATATTAATTCCCTTACTGAAGTAACAAGACTACGGTATATACCGTCTTAAAATACTAACTAAAAAGTGTGAAATAAAAAAGGTAAATTTAAAAAATCAAAAAACCCGACTGCTTAATTATTCTTCAAATAAAAAATGAAAAGAAAAAAACAAGTCCAGTAGTCTATAATTCTGTTAATAAGGAACAAAGCTACTTTAACAGTCGGGACCCACTGTTGAAAAATATTATGTATTCTTGAATATCTAATGGGTCCCGACTGTTAAAGTAGCTTTGTTCCTTATTAACAGAATTATAGAGTACTGGACTTGTTTTTTTCTTTTCAGTTTTTATTTGAAGAATAATTAAGCAGTCGGGTTATTTGATTTTTTAAATTTACCTTTTTTTTAAGATTTGTTATATGCATTCGATTGATTTCACTTGACCTCAGTAGGTGACGCTAGTCCAGTTCAATTTCGTTTCGTTTTCGTGAGCGTTTTATCAGGTAGCTCAAGTTTTTGGGCCCGCTAGATTTTACTAAATAATATTCAACTGTTTCAGGGAGTTCCTACTGGCAACCGATGGTGGCGCGGCAGTTTTTGCGGCAGTCACCGTTCGGACGAAGCGCCACCCAGCCAAGGCTTCTCCCTCAAGCATCTTCAGCTAGTTTGCAACCTAGTATTACAGGTTTGTTCCCAACTAAAGAATGCCCTATTTCCCTTGGTCACGTTATAACTTACGAATGACTACTGTTTTCATCATTTTTTTTACAATTTTCTAATACTTTGTAGAAGGTTCTTAAAGTATAGATAAAAATAACGTGAAACTATAGGGGGACGAAGTCGCGACCCGTAGCTAGTCTTAAGAATATTATAAACATTAAAAAAATATATGCAACGATTTTATCGTTAGGTGGGGCTCGCAAGCGGAGCCCGCCACGGCGGTCGGCGTCGTTCCGGCGCGGCCGCGAAGTGAAATTCGCGGAAATGGAAGCCACGCCGGCGGTGTGACGCGGGCCGCGGCTCCAGCATGAGCTGGTGCCGCTGCGGCCTGCCGCAACTGCCACCGCCACGCCTACCACTGAGTCATCGCCGACGCTGCTGAGGTATGCGAGTTATAATGTGATACAAACGGAAGCCACGCCGGCTGTGTAACGCGGGCAGCGGCTCCAACACAAGCTGGTGCCACTGCGACCCACCATCACCGCCACGCCACGCCTACCGCCGAATCATCGCCGACGCTGCCGAGGTATGCGAGTTATGCCGGTCACGTTTTCGAACACACTGTAAATTTACTAGCTGTATGGTTCAAAATCAGAGAGGTGAGCATTATACTTCTGACAAAGTTTTTCTGAATATAATAACATGATATTGCTAAAATAATTATTAAAAAATAAATTACACGGCATTTAGCATATTTATCTTTTTATACTAATGTTTTATTTGATTTAAACAAAAAAAGGTCAAAATAGTCATTCCGGGAATGCTTTCTTATATTTATTTATTTGTTCTTTATTACCAAAATACAGTAAATGGCGGACTTAATGCCATAGGCATTCTCTACCAGTCAACCAGTGTATGAGACGGATGTTTTGGCGATAGAGTGAGAGCTACTAAAGTTAGAGAAAAAAAACCTACTGAACTACACTATATTCTAAAACAATAAATATTTATTATATATAAATAAAATATGCCAATTTAAATAAATACATACACAGTACTGTAACGTCCGTTACGTTACAGCCTCCTTGTTTAGGTAGAGTCCTTTTCATGAAAGAAGTCCCCCAGACGCAGCGCTGTATTCGCGCGACATAATGTTGCCAGTTATGGGGAAAAAATATACATATTTCCCGAATAAGTATTTAGGTAGAGTCCTTTTCATGAAAGAAGTCATGTTACGAACCTGAATACAACCTCAACCACAACCTCCTTTTTTTACTTTATGGTAGATTTTGATACATACGTTGTCATAGTGATATTTTGATTGATTATAATTTTAAAACCTATGTTAAACAAAATACAAGAAAATACTGAATATTATTCTTTTATTCAATATAATCAACACCTACAATGTCGAGTATCAAAAGTAAAATGCAGGAATGGCTTCGAGAAAAGTCTTTTATTCAATATAATCAACACCTACAATGTCGAGTATCAAAAGTAAAATGCAGGAATGGCTTCGAGAAAAGGGAGTATATTTTGAAGACACCTGGACAAAAGCTGTGCTGCTTGAGCTAATCAAACAAAATAAAGGTCCACCAACATATGCTGTGGATGAATTATTGAAAGCTTACAACCATAAAGTGCTTAAATTGCCGCCTTACCACTGCGACCTCAACCCGATTGAAAAAATCTGGAGCCTTGTAAAAAGAAAGGTGGCAGATAAGAACGTGGCCCAAAATCCAAAAGAAATAGTAAGAATAACTGAAGAGGCCTTTGAGTCTATTACGGAGGAAGATTGGACAGCTCAGTGCAAGCATGTGGAACATTTGGAGGAGCAATATTTAAAAAATGCCGGCCTTATGGATGAAGAAATGGACCGAATGATCATATCAACGGCTAGTGATAGTGAAACAGAATCTGATTCTGTTTCCATCCATTCTTCGGACAGTGATATTAGTATGACCGCTGATCATAACTATTCAACTATATAAATTTATTCAAAGTTTTAATGATCCATCGACTCCCCGATGACTCTGAGACGAACATTCCTGGCTCCTCCTCACTTTGCCAACAACTTTTTGTATGATAAGTATTGTGTATATAGGTCTCATCTAAGTATACGATAGGTCTTTTTTCCACAGTGCGATTTCTTCGTATTTTATCCAAATACCTTGCACGCCATGCGGTAATTTCATGACGTTCCATAAGTAGTTTACGTTTGGATTGGCATCGCTTGTACTTGAAACCAATCCTATTTAATATTCTGTGCAATGTTGTAATGCTTCCCTGAAAATTGATGTCTTCTTTCAAAGCGGCCCGTAATTTACCCAATGTAGGTAATTCCTTCTTCACAACATAAAAACTGTGAATTTTTTGCCGGATGGCGCACAAATCGAACCCATCCAAGTCGAACTTTTTCGGATGCGGGCGACTCTTCCCCGGGGTGACAATTTTTTTCGAAGAACTCGCCGCTGTGATACCTTCTTTTGTGATTCTTGTTACAGTTTTCTCTGACACACCTGCAATTAAATTATGAACAATTTATAATAATAAGTAATTATAAGTTTAAAATACCTATTTTATTTCGTTATTATTATATGTATAGATTACATTTTTAAATTTAAGTTACCCAGCTTCATCACGTGTTATTTACTTGTTAAAATTTGTCTTTGAAATAAAAAAAAGTTCATATAATAAAACTCCAATCAATACGGCAATAATTCATAATATGGCAACTCTAAAAAAGTACCTGTTATGGCGGCGACTCTCTTGCGAACATTGTTTAGTGGTATTAGAACACCTTGGTTCTTTTGTTCCGCTTCACAGAACTCTTTCACTTTTAGTATCATTTCTCGAGCCGAACTTTTTACAACTTTTGGCATTGTGAACACACCAAAAAACGCACTTATTGAATTAAAAACTTACAAAAATCTACCACAACAAACGAACTTTATAACATCGATGAACGACAACATGGCCGATCTGTCAAATTTAGTTCCACAAATCACCGCGGGACTTCTTTCATGAAAAGGACTTTAAACTCTTTGCTCTTGCAATGCCTACGGTTGGCAGTTATATTATATTAAAAAGTTAATGTCATGATTTTAAGATTTGAAATAAGGAATCGTCTGTCTTTTGATAGAAGGTTCCATACAAGAGACGATCTTCAGGCACCAACCCTTGCGTAGCTTAGATAAAAATAATTATATTCGCCTGAATCAAATAAATAACTTTAAAAGTCCAATTTCTTTTAATTAGTAACTACGTCCCCTGAGTTCTATCCACTCTGGCTAGAACTCCTCAGTACATACACAGTATACATACACATATATATACTTATATAAATTAATGAACATATATATATCATTATATACATACACTTAATTAGTTAGAAATAACTAAATAAGATGGTACAGATGACTACAGATTAATGAAATATTAGGTGGTTAGATAGTGCGCACGCACTAGATTTTTGAACTCCAACATACTACGAGCACTGCGAATGTTCAATGGCAAAGCATTCCACAGACGTATAGCTGTTGTACGGGCAAACCCGTACAATTCTATATGTTTAAGTATTATGCTAACGTCGGCGCTGCGCGCGACTCGTTACGCCTTTTATTAAGTGAATTGAGCAGTAGCAATAAATTACTCATACAAACAACATCGTTTTATCATTTAACATAACAACATTTTCGGGACAGTTTTCGGAACCTATCATAACATTATCAAGCAACTAAAGGTGTCCCAGACATCTTTATGGTCCTTCGAACATTCGGAAAGGTGGGATCAGGTGCGCGAGGACTGTGAACAGTGTTCGTGTAAGTGATTCCAACACAGCGGACTTTGGAGTCAGTGCATATCAAAAGGATCACAACAGAAGCAGAAGCATCGGAAGAGGCAGCTGGGAGACACAACCTCCACGAAATATAGCAGAGTTATCAAGTAAGATCTTTCCATATCGTGGTTATGCAGGCAAAACCAATTTTGACGACTTTATCAAAAAATCTTTTTATTGCATGCATCGACTAAGTTTTTTCTGCTCTATCGGCAGGTAAAACCCTTTTCTTCATCAAACGCTCCGTTTCGAAGTTACATCATGTAAAAACCAATTTTAAGACTAGTTAGCCGTGCAAGGCTACAATAAAAATAATTTATGTTGACATAATAAAATTTTTACCGGTTCGGATCCCATGCAAAACAAAATAACACAGTAAAAATGGTTTTCCTTTACAGGATTTACTGTAATATTTGTGTGATTTCATCTACAAAATCAAATTACATGAAGATAACATACCCAAGAACTATTATGGTTTCAGGCAAAACATAGTATTATCATGTACTTGCTTTTCCGCGAAGTAATTCATTAGTGTATATATCAATTTGATCCTAGGAAAAAGTTTATTTGCGTCTAAATGTGTTTTGTTTGAACGAATTTAAAACACGCGCGAATGAAATACCTTCAGCGAAAACCAATTATTCACATATCGTGGTACGGATCGCTGGATTTCTAGAAATCCTAAAATCCACGATTTGTATCAAGTATCGTTGATTAATATCGAGCGTCTAGTCTCTAATCGATATTTATTGCGTTAGTATTAATATTGTCAGCAATGGAAGAGGACGCGCATATTGAGGCGGCGGCGCCCGCCGTACCTCATACAAAAAACCAAAAGCATTTGAAACAATTCATACTAGTGTTAAAACACTACCAGAGGTATGGGACAGCTCAAGTGCCGACACTGTAAATAAAGTGAAAAGGGCGAATGCCTATCAGCAACTATTTGAATTTAAAAAAGAATTAAACCTGGCGCGACTACCAAAGATGTCATTGCGAAGATAAACTCATTAAAATCGAATTAAATAGGAAAGATTTAAAAAAATAACCGATTCGAAGCGATCTGGTGCTTCTACGGAAAATGTGTTAATACGGAAAATTAAGGTTGCCAACTCTACTATATAATATAGTATCCTACTATATTAGGGGATCAAATACTATATTCCTTTCACGCACAATGGTCCAATAACTAGGACTAAGTGCGGAAACCGCCCTGAAGAACTAACTAACTATATTCCTAAAAACATATAAAGTAGGCGAAACTACTAAATTTTGCTTAAAGCAGGTTTTTGCACAGATTTGTATGTGCCAGGTAACTTGTTTCTTTATGTAAGCACCCTTTGAAGTTTCTACCTACCTGAGCAACAGAATCAGCCCCTTTTTTTATAGATAGGTCCGACAAATGACTCCACCCCACCTGATGTTAAGTGAAGGTGAAGTCCAGACGTGAAGATAGCTGATACAGCAGTTTTACCTGCCACACCAGCCATCCTCACCCTGCCGGCCTGCATGTTGCTTCTTTACGCCTCTTTTAAAGGATCCCAGGTTGTAAGAGGGAGGGAACACGTGAGCGGGCAGAGCATTCCATTTACGGATAGTGTGACA